TTGACGGGCGAGAGAACTAGTATGGAGACAGATAGAAAATAAGAGATAGAAGAAGAAAGACAGTTAAATAGATAAACAAAAGAGAGAAAGATAGAGAGAGATAGAAAAAAGATACAGAAAGGGATGAAAAGAAACAGACATTAAAAAGAGAAAGACAAAAGCAATGCGAGCACAGCCATTTGTAGTATGTAAAACATAGCGAGAGGTAGTAAAGGAAATTCGGGGTGTGGAGGAGGGAAAGGAGGAGGCAAATGCCACAACCTTCACTGCTTCCTCAGTCTTCCAACCACTATGCTTAGCGGCCCACATTATTTTCCCTGGGCAACGTACGTGCCCCTGTGTTGAGCAATATGCGTTCTAAAATTTTCAAAAGAGCTGAAAACTGGGAAGAACATGTCCCGATGCGTTGGTAAAAATGAAAGGATTATTAATTACTTTTATGAAATATTCAATGTGAAGACAATAAAGTCGTGAAGAGTATAGTGTAATTTATTCGTAATAAGTAGGATATAAGCGTGAAGGAATTGAAACGCACGAAAAGGCAAGGTGGCACCGGCAGAGACCTCACCTACAACATTCGAACAACGCGTCTGATGGTTTGCCATTCATTGAGCTACAGCGGTGACGTTCGTCTTCTCGCATATTTTATTGGGTATATTGGTGTATTTAAACGTGAGAGTAAGTGCTAGCCATGCATAGAGTGATTTATACTCTAGATTAATTTGCGCTGTACTTTACGCATTTTACAAAAAACAGGCATACCCCAAAACAATGCGATCCTATTATCGAGTCAACAAGTGCAACTGGACACGTGAACTGGGAGATTTCTAGCCCGTTCACTCGGTTAGGGCGAGTAATACAACGAAAGACGACTATCGACTCACGAAGGAGCGCAGAAGAGTTGAGGGGTAAATTTTTTAGTTACTATAGTCCGCTTCTAATTTATATCGACCTGTTGTGGTTGCTTGTAAAATGCGATGGTGTTTGACATTGAGAAACTAAAATACCTGCTGTCCCGAACTTGTATAGGTAAACAGAGTAGAATAGAAGTGAAACGAAAAGCAAAAAATTAACACGAGTTGATAGGAAAAAAAAGTATATAGTTCCTATTGAATGCCTAATACTTTTTCATATTCATCTCGTGTGAGTGTTGTTGTACTGCATCGAAAAGGTTTCTTTGCTCCTTTTAGCACAATTTGCACTTACATGCTGCCGTGACATTGACACCGTTTCTTATGCACAAAGTTTTTAAGATTCTAGTGTGTTAACTCTGATTAGTAACAGTTCTTCATTGCTACGATTTATTTTTGTCTTGATATTTTATTTACTTACGATAAACTGCAGTACGAGGAAGCAGCCAAAGTACATGGGCAGCTTTTCTCCAATGTTATTTGATTTATGGGTGAACAATTATGAGACGAATTTATTGTCACTGCAGAGCGATGACACCAAGCTGTTAGTCCAGAATATCGTTATGCAAAATAAAGTAGCTAAACAAAAGAAGCATGCATGCACTGCGTGCATAGCAACATACACCTTGCAGCCGTATTTAACCTTATTGTTGTTCACCTTTTAATATTCTCTTGATGACTATAGTCGAAATGCACATGACCTGAGGCCACTAGTGAAGAAAGACGACGACATTGAGAAAAGATGCAGAGCTGATGAATACGTTTCGACATTTAATACCAAAAAACGTAAAAAAACTGCATTTGCTATGGGTACCACACCACCGCGGAATATATTTGAACGAAATTGCGGAGTATTTTGCAGCAGTATCTCTGAGTGGGCCCACCATCCCAGTTTTGACAGATACGGCTTACGTGGCAGCGCTAAAGTTCCGAAATGCTTGTTTGCAATGGGGAGTAGGCCAATTGGATAAATATAAAGGTTTCGAGCATTTAAGGCATACCAGGAATAAACAGTGGTGTGGATCTCGGCAGTTAGAAGTCACTTATACCAGATTGCGTTGTGCAGTTCCCCAACTATATAAAATTATTTAACAAAGCTCGACTCAAAGCGTCATCACTGTGCATTTTAAGCGACGAAATTGAAACAATTGAACATTTTTTATTGATCTTTATCTTTTATCACAGAAAAATATTTATAGAAGGTCCACTACAGAAGTTAGGAATACAACTAAATGTACCAGTACTTTTATCCCTTGGCGGCACTTCATTTGACTACTGCGACAGGGATATGTGCTCCACTGTGTTTGATTACATCAATGCAACTAAAAGATTACCGTGCTAGTGAAGCCAAACCTTTTCAGATCTTTAGTTTATAATAAGTAGCTATGTCTGTCACGAACAAGAGATGGTTTGACCGCTTACTCAGCAACCATTTTTGTTTGTTGGCAGTTTTATCTCTACACTAATTTTTCAGATTGGCTTTTTTTTTCATTTTAGTTTCATTTCAGTATTCTGCCCCGCGATTCTTGGCCCATATCCCCTTGGTGGGTGAGCGATATCCATCTGAGGTCATCAGCACAAGGATTTAGTAGCCTGTGTGGCTTTCAGTATGGCCTGTGTGGCATGTGTGAGTAAAATATTCTTTTTATTACGAGGTTTCGTGTGCTTCAAGAACACCTACGAAGCTAACACTTCAGAAGTAGCATCGCCACCCAATCGCCACGGAGAGAAAATTGAATACCTAGTCTACGTAGCTGGCTAACATAACTCCAACCCTGAGATGCAACGCACCAACCGCAGAGGCAACTCAACTTGTGGTGGAGGAGATACGGACTTTGACAATGAAGACACCATTATGGCCCGCGACTTATTCAAAGATATCCAAAAAAAAACCATCTACTATCGATTCTTTTGGAACGACTGATCTCGGCCGGCAGCGCAGCACAGCCTCAACCAGCGCAAACGTTCCAGGTGATTCCCTACTTAAGCCACAAACATCAGTGCCTTCGACGGTTCCGAAGACGGTCTTGCAGTGCGTGAATGGATAGAAAGCATTCGTCAAGCGTTGAATCTTCACGGGTGGCCAGCTGCTTACACGCTGGAAAGAGCCAAGGCCCAATTGGTGGGAGGTTCCAAGGACTGGTACCGTTCAAGGAGTTCCCGGATCGCATCGTTCAAAGAACTCGAGCGGCATTTTCGTCGGACCTTCGTCTACCAGACTAGCGTTGCGGAAAGATGACGCAGGGTACAAGAGCGCGTGCAGCAGTGTAACGAGAGCACGACTGCTTACTTCCGTGCCAACGTGCGTCTTTGCCATGAACTCAACCTAAACTTTATCGATACGTGAGAGCAAGTTCTTTCGGGGTGAGGTCTTGTGAAATACGCGTCATGCTCTTGGGTAGGATGCATGACGATGTCGACGACCTGCTGCATGACATTTTGAACCTCGAACGCATCAAACGGAAATGACAGGAGGTTTTCAGCACACGTAACCGAAGCCTCAAACCACCTTCAGGTTCAGAATGCTGCCTGCGCGCTGCCACGGCAAGAAAATTCACGACCGACGCGAACCAAGGAACGTAACAATGCCAACCATTGCCACCCGTCGACCGACACTTCACACTTCACAGACTTCACAGGAGACTGAAGTGTACGTGACAGGTCGTCGTTTTTCTCTCAACAGTAAGCGCCCCGGCGGAAGCAGACGATGCCCCGAGTCTACAAGAACCCGTAGTCGCGCCTGTTGCGGCCCCCCAGAAGACAGGAAGGCCCACTTTTCATACAAGCCCCGCCGTGTACCCAGAACTACGGAGATGGCAAAGCACTGACAGTGAAGAAGGCCAAATATCCGAAGCCCAAAGGTTCTGCTGGAGGAATGGGAAAGCGAAAGGACACGGGGAAGCCCACACCAAAGAAAAGCCGACGTACTTCTAACCTGGTGCTGCGAGAACAAACAGCAAGGTGGAGAGATTTAAGGTAAAAACTGCAACGGTAAAAGAAAGTGCACAAAAATGCGGCGAAGAAGGAAAGAAAAAACGAAAAAGATGAAGAAACAACCCAGTGACAAAAGGCGTCTCATAAGGATATGCAGGAAGCGGGCGAGGTTGCAGAAGACGAAAAGTCAAAAAGACAGCCGAACCAAGACGACAAAATGAAATACAAACCACTGGAAGAATAGGGAAAAAGTGCCGGAGAGAAGACGCAAAGAAAGAAGAACGAACAGCCCCAGACAAACCTGAACGAAGATAGTGAACTGAAGTAGCCGAAGCCAACAGAACTAGACGACGCCAAGAACTTTGGACATGCCGGAGCAAATCAGAAGAAAGAATCACCGCAGAAGGGACAAAAGCGAAAGCCCGAGTGAGACGAAGCGTCAAAGCTGAAGTAAAGAAAAGAGGACACTGACATCGTGCGTGTTGTGGCTTTCCTCAAGGTCAAGCCAGTCTAGATGGCCGGAAACTACGACATTCCCTTTCACGTTTTACGCTTCAAACGGGCGAACTTCTGTGTGCCTTGAATAACTTCACGTGCTGATGTAGTTTTGTGTTATTTTGCCTTTGTTCCCTCTTTATCTTGTTCCTATAATGTGGCATTTATTCAGGAGTTGAATAGGATGGTCAGACATTTTGATGTGGGATCAGTGAATAACGTTTTTGGGACAGCCTTAACGAGGACGTTTAGTCACTTCAGGATGGCCGAATGATAGAAGTACACGTGGCCTGAGGCAGCTAGTGAAGAAAGACAAAGACGTTGAGAGAAAGACTCGTGCAGTTTGGCCTGTGGGACATTTAGTAGCCTGTGTGGTGTTTTGGTATAATAGTCTGTGTGGCATGTGTGAGTAAATTATTCCTTTCATTACGATGTTTCGTGTGCTTCAAGAATGTTTACGAAGCTAACAACGTTTCAATTATTTTCTCGCATTTAAACGTTAAATTCATTTTTCCTCTTATAATTACCTCACGTTTAATGGTCAAACCCCCGTAGTGGGTTCGAGCTAAAACATAGGTACAAGCAAGCAAACAAGAGAGCAAGCAAGCAAGCATGGTGCTCTGCAGTTGATATGAACGCAAATCTTACTCCCTTTTTCAGGATTACGGCAACTACAACTTCGGCTACAACATCGTGAATGGTTATGGAGCCGCCAATGGTCGCCATGAGTCCGGTTCCGCATACGGAGGCGTCAAAGGGGCCTACTACCTGGCTGACGCTGACGGGCGCTCTCGGCGCGTTGAGTACGTCGCCGACAAGTGGGGCTTCCGTGCAATGGTCAAGACCAACGAGCCGGGCACAAAGACGAGCTACCCGGCGGCTGCGCCCTACCACTCGGCCAACGGGAAGCACGTGCCCTCGGGTTACGGAGGCTTTCACGGCTAGGCTGCCACTACAATGCGGTGCGTGAACTTCCTCACAATGTGTCAGCGCAACACGGGAGCCATGGGAGTGAAATTTGCCTTAGGTGGATGCATCGGGACTACGAAGGGGCTAGAAAACACAGACAGGACATTAATGCCAATTCTTAGCATTCATAATAACCAGCAGCCGTCACTGTGAGGTTGTCCTACTGAAAGTGAGGTAGCGAGTTTAATCTTCGACAACCTTGGCTCCAATCCGATGGGCGAGTAAATACACACCGTTTCTTTATTTTGAATTCAGCTGAGGAATTCCATTATCACTACAGATAAACAAATAAATACACAGATAAAAAATAAATAAAAATATACAAAATAACTAAATATGATCATTGCCGACAAGCATAACGGGCGATATTTTCAATGCACTTGTGCTAAGCCATTGGTAAAATGGCTTGGAACAGGAAATCGAGAATATGGTATGTGCGTTGCTTGTGGCATCTGTATTTGTGTACGCATGGGAGATGCAGAAGCAGCTGTGTGATGGCGTGTATCTGCGATTGAAGTTGGACCACTATGGTCGGAAATGCAAGTCATGACCTCATGCTCCGCTACACGACGCCGTAGTGGTTGGGAGTGAAGCCCTCGAAACGTCTAAGTGCCAAGAACTTTAATTGACTATTTATTTTAGACGATGGCTTTACGAAGACTAGATTGCGTGTGGTCATAAAAACGAAACATTATTAAAAAGGCAACTTCGTCCAAACAGATTTAAAAAGATAATAAACGCAGAATCAAGTTATTCTTGCATTCTTTCAAGCTACGAAAATAGACAAAGAAAAAAACATAAGAACATGGACATTACAGAATTTTCGCTTTTCTGAACTAATATAGGCCAATCATTGAAAGCATACAGCTTTCGGGTTTTTCCCTTTTTGTGACATCCCACGTTTGTCAAACGCGCTTTATGCAACATATCCTCTATCCACACGTAGCACACCAATCCACCATTATCCACACTCATGGTGGAGAAAAATAAAACGCAAGGCCTGCTCGGAACGCTCAGCACACTCGCACCAACAGCTAGAAGAGTGGCCTTTCAGAGCATTTTCTAAACACTTTTTAGGTAACTGCTGCAAGCACACTGCGGTGTACCCCCTGTGTCATAAATCATCATAATTTTTGGGTTGTAGACCAGCATTTCCTTTGATATCTTTCGTCAACCTTTGCAGACGCGTTGAATCCGCTACGCACTTGTTTGGAATTTTGTGCAATTTATTATGCAGTGGCTGACGACGATGAAGAATTATGCCATACGTGGTTATGTGCCACAGCTATTAGTTGGTCAAGAACAAGTTTTCCTATGGGCTGGAGCATCGGACGCACCGCTCGTTACGTATTTCGCAATGTGTGACGCCTGGCTGTTCCTTTGATGTTGTAAAACGCTTTATTACTCATATTTTATTTATTTATTTCACAATACTGCAGGCCAATGTGCTGGCCCAAGCAGGAGTGGATACATCAAAACGTAATTGTAGAAAACAACAGACAACAATACAAAAGAAACAAAAGGTTAAGAAAGAAGGTGGCGCTCAAGGTCACCAAGAAACTTATTAGAATGAAAGATGTCACACGGCAAACAATTCCAGTCATCGACAGTTCTAGGAAAAAAAACTATATTTAAAAGCATTTGATCGGGCAAAAATTGGGGTTAGAGCATGTTCATGACCATGACGAGTACGTCGTACTGAGAGCGGTTTAACACAGTCAGGGAGATCAATTTTTACAATACCACACAAACAATTGTAAAGAAAGGAAAGACGACTGAACTTTCTCCGAGCTTCTAAAGTAGAAATGTCGTTTAATTGCATTAAGGTGGTCGGGGAATCAAACCTACGATATTTGCCAAAAGTAAACCTTACAGCCTTTCTGTTAATACGGTCCAGATTCATAATATCTTTCTTGGTATGCGGATCCCAGATAATAGAAGCATACTCAAGCTTAGAACGAACACAGGCATTATAGGCTAGAATTTAGTACGCGAGGGTGCAGATGCTAGTTTTCTTTTTAGAAACCATAGCTCACGTAATGCAGAAGTGGTAATGTCAGTTATGTGGGTCGACCAAGTTAATTTGCTTGAGAGTGTGACGCCCAAGTACTTATATTTGTCTACATTATTTATGTTAGTGCCTCTTAGAGTATAGTGGAATTGACTAGGGCTTAGCTTCCTGGTGATGCGCAGAAGCACAGTTTTGTTAGTGTTTAACTGCATACCCCCGTTCTGACACCAGTTATCGATAGCGATAAGTGCATCTTGTAAAGCCACATGATCACACGGTGAGGAAATTTGCTTAAAATTGACGCAATCATCCGTGAACAAACGCACAGACACATTTTCAGGAATAAGAGAAGCTAAATCATTAACATAAATTAAAAACAAAAGTGGCCCTAGCACACTTCCCTGTGGGACTCCAGAGGACACATGAAGAACAGTCGATGAAGAATTACCAATCACTACATACTGACGTCTATCTTGAAGATAAGCCTGAATCCACAAAACAATTTTTGTAGGTAGTCCAATACGCTGTAATTTGTGTAACAATTTCCCGTGTGGCACTTTATCAAAGGCTTTACAAAGATCTAAAAACAGTACATCAGTTTGCCCAGAAACATCAAGCACACGTGAAAATTCATGGACAGTTGTAACTAACCGGGTAACAGTAGATAACCCCCTTCTGAAGCCATGCTGATGCTTTGATAGTACATTGTGTTCACTGAGAAATTCATTGACGTAATTACCAATAACGTGCTCAAGAAGCTTGCAACAACCGCTCGTAATAGAAATAGGGCGGTAATTCTCAAATGATAAGGGGTCACCTTTTTTATGAATTGGTTTCACACGTGCTATACCCCAATCAGCCGGTATTTCCCCCGTAGCAATTGAAAGATTAAGAAGTCCAGTTAGGAACTCCGATAAGTATTCAGCGTAGCGGTTAAAAAAAACATTAGGAATGCCGTCAGGCCCCGGAGGTTTTTTGGGATCAAGTTGTAATAGCATGTGCAAAACGCCTTCTTGCGTCACTAATAGGTCATTGTCTGAGTCATGAATGAATTCTCAAGTTCATAATCATCGGTTTGAGAAAAAACGCTCTGGAAGTATGCATTAAAATGTTCAGCAATAGTAGGAGCGTCCGTTATTATTACACCATTAACCTTCATTTTACTACTCCCCGTCTTAGACTCGCTTAAATACCTCCAAAATTTTTTAGGGCTATTCTGAAGAAATTCAGTCAGCGTATTACTATAAAAAGTGTTTCTTGCTTGTGCCAAGCTTGTTTGTAGTTTGTCTTTCAGTACTTTAAGCTTACGCGATATTAACGCGATACCTTTCCCGAAAGCAAGCCTATTTGTGTCCGATTTAGAAACGCTGTCCGCGCACTGCCTTGGCTCAGTAGTAAAAAACTGGTCTGTCACGCAGCAGACCCGGGTCCGAGTCTTATTGTGTCACGGCTGTTTTATTTCTCCTAAGTTTTTTTTCCGTGCGATACTGGTTACGAACACCGGCGGCGGCGGTCAATTACGGCGCCGCGTATCACCGTGTTTCGATCTCTTAATAGCTTTCGCTGCGAAAATTGGTAGCGCTCGACGGGGCGGAAGTGGTGAGGTTGTTACACGTTACGTGACGCCGTTTACTGGCTTTGCCATACGTGCACATGTTTTCCTGGACGAACTGTGAGAACAGATGCCCTACCGTAATGGCAGGAAAAGATTTAGGGGGGAATCGGTTCACGTCACATCTCCGCAGGTGCCAATTATGACGAAAATGGCTCAGTAGCACCATTAGAGTGCGAACAGAAAAATGGGCGATTTGTTTGCGCAAGACCTCGTGCACTTGGCGAGGAAAGCTACACAAAACCATGTTACAACTGAAGACTTTATTAATCGGTTGTTTTGCGAGCTTGGTGATGGCATTAAGCAACTGTTCTTATCGCATTCATGATTGCTTATTTTTGCTTTATTTATTTTCTTCCGAAGATGTAACTGGCTTTAAAGTTCACGAAGGTGGAGCAGTGCGCACAAAAGACGAAGCATAGTCAATTTACCAGCTAAAGTAATACACAGGAGCTATGTTATCTATTCGAGTGCTGTCTTCACAAACTGAATGCATCCGTCATATTAAAAATACGAGAATTACTGTATGCTATCGCAATGACTGAACGGCCAAAACCTGCCCCAATTCATTACGCGTACACATCACTCGCATTATTTGAGCCTCTTCACTTGCATTGCACGTTTCGTTTTTTTTTTAAATGAGTGTACGCACCGTCACAGTATTTCTAGTTCTTGAATATGTGGTGCTGTCTTTCACATTTGGTTTCCAGGTGGTCTTGTGAATCTTTCCCGGAACTTCGTCGTAGCTCTGCGCAGTGATCCTCTATGCTTCGAGGTGTGCTCGCCTGGTCGTCCCCTCGCTGTCATGCCAAACCCATGTTCGACGTGTCAATGTGCCGCAGCTGTTTCGCAGCGTGCCATGGCTTTTGCGTGACACTTGGCATTGCCGCTGAAGACTCTTCGCTTTCGTGGGTCCTCTCCTGCAAGCCTGCAAGAACATTAAGCAAGGAAACCATCCTCTTTTCACCCCTTTCCTCATACTCTCAACCCATTGTGTTTGTAATTTCTGCTATTGTCACGGCGTATATTTGTTCAATAAACATTTGTATTGTCAAACAATAACTAAAACAAAAAGTATTTAACAATGACTTTTTGTTCCCGCATCGACAAACCTACAGCCGATGACTTGAGTCATTGCCAAGCAAGCTATCACTTTGCAGCACGCGCACTAGAGTCATGAGATACCTTTTTTCTCTCGTTTTTTCCTCCTTTTTCAAATTAGTTTCACCTTTATTGATGCTAAGAGGTAGCGTTCAAATCTGTGTGGAGCGACCCCTGTGCTCACAGAAATGGTCGACCTGGCGATACGTTTTGCACCTACTCCCCATGGATGGGTTGAAGAAGGAAGCGATAGCTTCCGACGCAGATCTCATTTATTCTAGAATCTTGGTAGAATAATCATTCACAAGGTGCATAAAGTAATCTCATTGCTAGATAGATTAGCTCGATGGCAACACGACAAGTCAAGTAGTTACTTACAAGACTCTCCACGGGAACTGTTGAGATAATTAGTACACTTTGTTTTCTGGGTTGTAAAGAAAATACAGCGCGAAAAGACAGGGCTGGATTAAGCACAAGCACAAGCGTTAATTCACAAGTGATTTTACTTACAGCGGCGCATATTTGATGCATTGCTGTGATAGAAAAATTTGGGGACCCTAAAGCTTCGCCTTTAGAATTTGAACGTGATACTGACATCTAGTTCCTTCTGCGTCTTCCAAACACTTACTGCGTGAAACCTATTTGAATTTGCTATGTAATTCTATGCGGCCTTAAAAAAATATGTGCAGTAGCATGTGTGCCTTCTGTAGTGTGGTACCGGCTTTCAATCTCGAAGCCATTATCATAATCACACATTCTGACGTCTGTTGGCAATTGACGCTATTACCACACATTATTACTACAATATTTCATGTTGCATTGCGAAGCATGTATACAGGACCCGTGTGTTTGTGAAGCATGAAAGCTACTTTCACGGCATTTCCAAATCAAGGTAGTTATTTCCACTATTTTCAAAAGAAGAGCCATGGGCTTACGGTATAACATCCGCTTGCAACGCAAACGACCCGGGTTTGATCCCCACTTCGACCCAAACAACCTTGGTTTGTTTCTCACTCTTCTCCTAGATTCTTATCATTTATTCATTTTATTTGCATCGTTCTCGATTTTTCAATGACGCCTAAGTTGATAATTTTTCGCTCACTACCAATTACGCTGAAACTGATGCTGATGCCGGAGTTACTGCGAAACAAGCTCTTTAACGCTCTCGCGTTAAAATCAGTCGTCAGTCCTCCCTGTTGCGTGTGCCCCTTCCACCCCTATTCTCTGGCGCACCTTTTTTTGTGACAAGTGTTCAGAGATAAGTTGAATGAGTGATCTTATTACAGACAGAGTACAAAACGAAGTATAATGTGAAAAGTGAATTTCGCAATAACTGTCGCGCAGCTAAAAAATCTGAACAAGTAAACAAAGAAAAAAAAGAACGAAAGATTTGTATAAAAAGAGAAAGTCAGGTAAGTCAACCAGTATCTGTTTTGTAGCAAGAAAAAAGGGAGGGGGAGGAGAGAGAGAAACTGTGCTGCGGGAGTAACAAAAAAAAAATAAAAGAAAGGGACGGAGTCGCAGTGTCACAGGAAAGAAAGCCTACTTGTAGCCCCGCCGTGGTGGTCTAGAGGCTAAGGTTTTCGGCTGCTGACCCGCAGGATACGGGATCGAATCCTGGCTGCAGCGGCGGCATTTTCGATGGGAGCCAAACTGCTGTGGGCCCGTGGGCCCAGATTTGTGCGCACGTTAAGGAACCTCGGGTGGCCTGAATTTCCGGAGCCCTTCACTACGGTGTCTCTCATAATCATATCGGTGTTTTGGGACATTAAACCCCACAAATCATTCAAAGTCTACTTGTAAGCGTCTATCACCCTCATCGTGAGCGATGTACCTATCTAGTCTGTGCTGCATTAGAAATGGTGATATCACTATATATACATGCGTATTTCAAAGCAACCAGAGTGCGCGTAGTCTCGGAACATCTAAACTCTGTCAGGTATAATGTATCATATTTCTTTGCTCTGTGTGGCACTCATCTTCAATCTTTTGTACGAAGCCCAAAGACTAAATACATTCTCCGTTACTAAAATTACGTGGTTACATATAGGCGTTGCCCTCGCAAAGATGTCAACCCGTATTAGTGTCGAATTACTCAGACGACGTCCACACCGTGTAACATGCGGCAATCTGTCACCCATGACGCGTCGTTTTTCTCGCCATGAATGCGACTGAGCAACAACATATAAATAAATAAATAAATAAATAAATAAATAAATAAATAAATAAATAAATAAATAAATAAATAAATAAATAAATAAATGGCAGGTCACACGTACAGTGGGAATCGATGATACACGAAGAACGAATGAGGAAGGTTAATATGTCACTTTAAAATAAGCACAACCTTACGAGGCGGACATAAATTATGCCGTACATCATTTTCACGTCATGATTATTATGTTTAGACGTGTCATTTACCATCGCCGTCTATTCACGTCACGCGATAAGAAATTTATGTGTGGATCAAGCGAAACTGCCGCGAGCGTGCTATGAGCGTAACATATAGGCATGTTTAACATCAAACGCACTTCATAATTATCTTGTTTGGACGTATCATATACCTTCATCGTCTATTCACGTCACGTGACACTAATTTTGGCAAATATGGAGCTAGTAAAACAGCCACCACGCATCATGAGCGTGGCATGTAGTCATGTTTCTACATGAAATGCATCCTAGATTATCATGTTTGCACTAGTCATATGCCTCCGTCATACATTTACGACCCAGAATACAAAATTCCGTAAATGTGAAGCTACTGAATCGACCATCAGTGCATCATGAGCATGGCGTGTAGTCACTTATGTTCATCTGTCACATAAGCATCTGTCACTTATGTTCCCCATGCAGTCATGTTACACCATACAAGTTTTGCAATATGCCATGTGAGCGAAACCACCACAAGAGCAGCAAAACCATGAAATGTAAATCATGACATTCATGACGTTCATGTAAAAATTTTGATGTTATGACTAGTCACTTATGCTCATAATGCAGTCATGTTATGTTATACGAATCTTGATATCGATAACATTATCTAAACGGCCAGGAGAGCTAAAAGTCGTAGATAGATAGATAGATAGATAGATAGATAGATAGATAGATAGATAGATAGATAGATAGATAGATAGATAGATAGATAGATAGATAGATAGATAGATAGATAGATAGATAGATAGAGAGATAGATAGATAGATAGATATATAGATAGATAGATAGATAGATAGATAGATAGATAGATAGATAGATAGATAGATAGATAGATAGATAGATAGATAGATAGATAGATAGATAGATAGATAGATAGATAGATAGATAGATAGATACGCTCAAAGTGACTGAAGTTTGCTGAAAAAGGCTTCGCATTAAAAACCACCAGGCATGCGCGGAACGCGCAACACAGTCACAGCGAAAGCTGTAGGAGTGGCCTTTCAGAATCTTTTTTGAACCTTTTTTTTGTGGGTTCCCAACACGCCATCTTGCTGGGTGCTTGCTGAGTACCCACTATGTCATAAATATTCATAATTTTTGTGTAGTAGGCAAGACACAGTCACAGCAAAAGCTGTAGAAGTGGCCTTTCAGAATCTTTTCTGAACCTTTTTTTTTGTGGGTTCCCAACAAGCCATCTTGCTGGGTGCTTGCTGGGTACCCACTATGTCATAAATATTCATAATTTTTGTGTAGTAGGCAAGCCTTCACTATGCCATCCTTCGTCAATCTTCGAAGGAGCGTGCTACCCGCTGCACACATGTAAAGGATTTTGTGCAGTTTTTTATGTTGTGGCTGACGACGATGATGACTCATGCCTGAATATTTTGTCAAAAAGAAAAATGAAGTCAACAAGAACAAGAAAAAGAACTTTTGTAATGGGTTAGAGCATTCGACGACGAATTCGTAGCTCAATTCGCATCGTACGACGCCTGGTTCTGGTTGTACCTTTGCTGTTCTAAAATGCTTTGTTAGAAATAGAAACGTGATTTTTTTTCGACATATTGCCTTCCTATGGCTATAGTTTGCAATAGAGTTCCAAGCAGCTGCGCGGCTCTGTAGAATACTGCGCTGATGTGCAGGGAACTTGTGTTCAATTCCCATTATGCAAGAGTGTTTTTATACTTATTAGGTTTCTTTCCTATTTAATAGTATATTGGTTAAGGACACCAGTGGCGGAACTCTACGACGCACGGAACCTTAGTAGTTTCATAACAGCTCTTACTGTAGAATATTGCTACATGTAGGCTGCCGGAATGCATATTGTCGACGTAAGAATGCACCTGAAGAAGATGACGAAGGTCGCTTGCTGTTCGAGCTCAGACCTGCACTGACCAGCGCTGCAACCCCTCGTGCAAATATATTTTGTGAATAGCCTGCAGTACTCAAGCAACTATTTGTCTATATGTTGCTTGTATATTTAACCCATTTTGGACAGAATAAATCATATACATTAACTTCTCGAACCGTTGTCACGAAAAACAATTGCACACTGCGTTTTCCAGAAATACCCCCTGCCACTCTTCATACTGGCGGACCTTAGATCGGTTACTGGCAGTGGCGGATATTACTCTCGCGTGAAGTCGAAATGCATGTGAAGTCCACTCCCACGTGAAGTCAAACTGCATATCGAACAACGAACAAATTTTGTGCACAGTACTTTATTATTTTATTTGTACAAATATGGTTATATTTTAATCACAGATGGTCAGTTATTCAGGCCTATGTGCTTCTTGTAAACTGCAGAATGATGCCATTGTCGATACCGCGTCGCGTTAAAGAACTGGTAAGGACGTGACAGGATTTAGTCCTTGCGTTCAACTCGCTGA